GTGCTTTGAGCCTGGTGTAAGACGCGCACTGAGTAGTGCTTGGTTCACAATTACTAAGTTACTATGTGACCACAACTTTGGTGCAGCGGTAACTACGTGGGATTGCTTGGACCAGAAATCAGAAGACAAGTGTCGACTCACTAGAGCAAAAGGTAAGCAAAAGGTATAATAGTATTACCTATTGAATGAATGAACCCGTCTATACCTCCGATTATTAGAGTGTCTGTGGCCAAGGAGGGCAAATCAGAGAGAGTGTAGACCTTTGGGGATGAAATGCTATCCCAGAACCCTTTAGTGCCAAAAGGAACAGTGGTTTGCTCTTTGTGGACGTGATGTAGAAATGAGGCGACCAGGTTGTGGGTCAAGGTTAAAGGGTAAAGGCCTTGGACGGTGGACTGCAGCCCAGCCTCCAGTCCGAGGAGCATTGGGGCCAACGCCACATTTGAACCATCTAACGTGAGAACCACACCTTTCTCCTTACCAGACTCTGACAGGCTGTGATTAATGACCTCTCTTACATAGGAAGTGACTGATGGATTTGCCACAAGGTCATGTGCATCACTGAGGTCACCGAGGTATCGCTTGATGAGCTCGGTTTCAAAGCCAGCAGCCTTACGTAGACCTTTCACCACATTGAGCATCTGAAGACCTGGATTCACAGCTTCAATGCTCTCCACAGCTCTGATGAAGTCCTTCATGTGCTTTGTGGTGGTGGCTGATGGAAAACGAGAGGGAAAAGCACAGAAAACAAGAAAATTGTAATTTTTACTCAACCACACACATTAAAGGAGTCATTTATGAGTATATAAAAAAAATAATACATTTATAGAAACCAAGCAGTAAAATCGACCCATGAGAATCCCAAATCTCACATATCTAGTAAATTAATTTAAGACAATCATAAATTTCACCGACGTCAATCATAAAATATTGCAGGTTCTTACATTTTGCCATTAATGTCAAAGCAGAGTTACACAAAGAGTCACATAAATTACTTTTATTATACTTTCATGGTACTTTATTGGCTATTTTTTGACCCTATTGAAAAAAAGAGTGCTGACATTTTTCAAAGTGTCATTCATGGCCAATGAAAGTGTTTGAAATGACACTAAGGGTGAAGAAATTACATAACTGTAACTTTTGAGTGAACAAAGCATTGGTGACATATTTAGTGCTTGTACACATAAATGAACCTGCAATTATTCAGCGTAGTGACTAGAAAACTGAATATTTGACTTACCTTCAGCAGCAAACACCACAAGCAAAGAAAGAAGCAGACGCAAATGCCAATCCATGAGGACAGAACTTGAGAGCACTGAAGAGTCTCTGTTCACTCAGTCCAGTTATGCATCTACCCTGCACCTCATCCGCCTTATAAATACATGCTAACACTTATGTAAGCACATGCTGATAAACTAGTGTGTTCCATGATATAAAGATTTAGCTTTGAGAAAGTAACAGATGCTTTCAATCTGTCTCAAATAAACCTGCAGTTGAATAAACCACCCATGATACTGATGAATATGTCAAGAATCTTCAATACTTACATCACAATAAAGTCTATTGTATTGTAAAAGTGTAAGTAAATGATGGTATAGGGGAGTAGTACACTTCATTTGAATTATACATAACACTTTACAATAAGGTCCCATTAGTTAACATCAGTTAATGCACTAACCAACATTAACAGTGAGCAATACATTTGTTACAGTATTTATTAAACTTTGTTAAGGTTTATTAACAAAAAACACTTGTTGATTGTTAGAATAAATTAGCTCAGATCCATTAGACTTGATTTTAATAATGTATTAGTAAATGTTAACATTAACAAGATTAAGAAAATATTTTTCATTGTTATGTTAACTTATGTAGTTAACTAAAATTAACAAATGTATATTGCAAAGCATTACTGATTTATGTTTATATTTATACTACAACACACATTTCAAACCTTTCTTAGAGAAAGTGTTTTCTTATTGCTAATAATCTTTCAGATATACTAAATTACAGCAAAAAGAAAAAAAAAAAAACAGTATTAGTTCTTCATGTGAATAAGTGGAAACTGTTGATAGATAAAGCTTCTATTTTTTCCTTACCCTATATCAGAAAAGCCTTTGATATGCTTCATCACAAGGTAATTTACCTTGCGATATGGTTTATCACAAGATAAACAACATAACCAGTTCACAAAAATAGAAAAGTGGTTAGGATTTTCAATGACAGTCTGTAAAGTTTAAACTTTAAATCATAGTTTACTTACTGATGAATCAAGACAATACTAAAATAGCAGGTCCAAAAATTCAGATTGTGGCTGTTTCATTTCAAATATCGAAGTACAGAATCATGGGTATTTCTGATTATGTAACGGTGTAAAAAACAACAACAACACTGTAAAAAATCCGTGTAAATTTACAGCGTATTTACAGCGTAAATTTACAGTACTGAACTGTTTTCTAAAATTACGGTTTTACCGTAAATGCACACGTGATCGGTGGGGGAGGGGAACCAAAGGCTAGCTTGGTACAAGTGATTGACGCCGACGCATCGAGGAGCATCGGGTTCAGTGAAAGTTTTATATGCATGGATTTCATCTCAAGTTGAAGCTCATTTACAGGTAAGCAGATCAGAGTCTGAAATAAGTTTATTTGATATATTTATTTTTTATGTGGGCACAATCTTTTAATTTGCCTTTGACAGATTGTTGCCAACCCTGAGGTTTAAGACGGTGAATTAGCGTTAAGTTAAGTGTGTGTGTGTGTGCGTGTGTGTAAGAAAGAGAGAGAGCGATTCTTGCAGCTAATTGCATGTTTT